GTTGACTTCAGGCTTCACGGTGGGGAAGGAACATCAAAGTCATAAAATTCGAAGAGAAGAACAAAGGAATGATTCACTGATGTTAAAGAGACAGACGCAAAGGTAGGGATAAAGGTATGGTGAGTACTGTGGAAGTAATTGAATATGACATACAGTGGGGTCAGAAGTCAACTGCCGGTTTATAGACTTTTCTGCCGCATGAATATACGTTGCCCAGGGTGCACCACGTGTGTATTTATAAGTGGCTATTCACACCTTTTGATGCCATTTTCCAGATACAACGTACAAAAATCTTTTTTTTCAATTTTATTCGAGTTTTTTACTTTATTTATACTTTCTCTTTTTTGATTATTTAAGAGAATAAAAATAGGAGAGCAAATCGAAGTCTTCTCAGCTTCCATTGGGTGACATGATTAGAGATAATGCTATCTCATTAGAAAGATTGAAGTTGTGAGCAACAGGTGGTCTTGAAAAATAAGAAAATAAAAACATAGTCAGCTAATTTTTTTTCTTTTTTTAGCATTAAATTATTGTACTTACCACCATATTCTTTGCCGTTTGCAATAAAGTTAAACACCTTTTAATTTCTTATTCTCCTTTGTGTGTTTTTACCTCCATAGTAAACCTGTGATGGGACTTTTAGCAATCAAAAATTAGTCATTTGAGACCTAAGTTTGGTGTTCCTCCTGAAGTGTATTGATGTCCTTAACAGAGTAAAAATTTACTTCTTTTTTGTGAGCTTTTAATCTAATAATCATGACGCATTTAGTGGAAGCTTTGTATTGTTGGCTGTTTTTGTTATGATAGACGTTTTTGAGATCTTGAGTGATTCGCCTTTGCATGGGGCTTATTTAAAAATTTCTTTCTTTCCTGACTAAAGATAACCAATGATTACTCAGCCACCAGAATCCCTTCTTTGTTCTATGGCAGAGCTAGATAGGTACTATTGCCATTATCGTAACTCTGCTGCAATTGAAACCCTCCAAGTATTTTTGACAATTAACTTCAAAAATACGCTGAAATTGCTAAGAAATACACAATAAGAGAGATTCTTTTTGTTTAAATACCTCCCTATCTTCTCACTTAATTGCGCATAATAATATATAAAAATTGTTATTTGAATCAAAGTGGATAAGGCATTTTATAATCTGAATGTAACCAGAAGGTTAGCACTTAACAAACTACTTATATCAATAAAATGTTGAAGCTTTAGGGTAAATGTGAATTCCTACCACCTTTGAAACTATTTCAAAATGTCACTTTTGTTTGATCTAAGACGAGGAGGGAGGGAGGGAGGAAGAGAATGAACTGCATGAAGTTAGTCTGCTTAGGGGTACATTAGATTAAATTAAGCCTTAAAGTACACTATTTTCAGAATGGAATTTTAACTTGCGCAAAAACTGTTACATTGAAAATTTTTTTAAAAATTTAAACTTAATTTGAAGACTAAAAATGAATACAAGAATATAATTGCAACTTGTAATAGCAAAACTGTAAATTAATTAAACCATAAATTGTAATTCTTATGATGAATGTAGAAAAATGAAAAAAAATTTTGAGATATAGGCATCAACGATGGTTAATATTTCATTAATTATTCGGCACTCTGTGGCAGGAGTTACATTTTTTCCAAAGTTAGAATTTAGATAATTGTATAATTAAAAAGAATGTTTAAGAATGTTCTACCCTATCATTAGCTAAAAGTAGTATTTATGAATCTAAATAAATTTTTACAATAGTTTGCACACTTTCTTATAGGTTTAGCACTCTAAACTTACAGCTATGTCGTGAAACGGCATGACAAATTTTGCACTTCATGAAACGGACATATAGGCATTAAAAGATTTGTGAATTTGTTCTTTCCTTGAAATAATTCCATGTTCAAGTTTTAATCAATCTCAAACAGTCATTTCAACAATAGTCTCTGCTTGACTCATTTACAGGTTTTGTGCTTTTGGAAAAGTAAAAGAATTATTAATAACTCCCAGATATAAAGCACCTTTAAGGTGTATTAATTATAAAACATCATCTGAATATGTTGACACTAATTTGTGTAGTAAAAGAAGAAATATGACAAAGGATTAGAGGAGAAGCAGGTAATTGCCTAATTCAGAATAAGACAACAATTAAGATTCAATATTCTCATAAGGAGCATCATTAACTTTATCGATTTTTACTGTATTCGGTCTCACATAGGAGGATAAAACTGCAACGACTCTACTTTGGTCATTTTCCCCGTTGAGTTGGCTCCTTGGTTGGTCACATGAATTGATCTTGTTTTAACTAAGTAAAAATCAACGAGAATTACTATAAAATTTGAACTTGCCTCGATCTTCCGAATAACAATATTTATTTTTTATCCCATTAGAATTTAGCTATCAAAACCTACTTCATTTTTTGCTTTCTTGTTAATTTCACTGCTTCAATTTTCCCCTTATAATCGACCTCCTGTTATTTTGGCTGGCAAAGGACGATTTCTTTTGATTAACGTCAAGAGAGAAAATTTTAAGACATTATCTTACTTCTATTGTGATTCTTCTGACGTGACATCGTTTACCATTTTACCAAACTGTTAAACTAATTCCGAAATTGGAAGATTTCTGATATGAGAGAGAGTTCAAATATTATTGTTAAGAGTAAAACTCGGTGTATAAAAGCCAACTATCCTCCTCCCATAACATGTGCCAATTATAAAGGGTCTCTATTCTATGCTTAGGTAAACCAATCCAATGCTGGGTGCCTCAAGAATTCAAGCACCCTTGGGAGGAGTACGCGGAGAATTTATGTTGGATACAGAACACCTACTTCCTACTGCCAAACGAGGATGTTCCAGAGGATGACATCGAGGAACAACAAGTGAAATACGTAGGCTACTATCAGTGGATAGTAATCGTGTTAGCTGGTCAAGCGATGATTTCCTGGGTACCCTATCTAGTCTGGCGGGTAGGATCTAAACGCCTCCCCATACTCCTTAAATCTGCGAGAGAAGCGGCCATTCCAGACAGAGAACTTCGACAGAAAGCTGTTTCCTGTTTAGTCGCAACTCTTGAAGAAATATCGGAGTCTACAGCACGACAGAAGCGCGTGAAATCCTCCCTAAAACGCATTTTCTGTTCCATACGACCCAATGTGAAAATTACCCTTCTCTTTTTCTTTGTCCGCATCCTCTTTATTGGCAACTCTGTGGGCCAAATTTACCTGATGAAACACTTCATTGGAAGCAATAGCTCCTACTTTGGCATCGATATGCTCAATAACCTAATCGCTGGACGTGATTGGGAGTCCACGGGCCAATTTCCCCGAGTCACCTACTGTACAGTTAATGTTAGAAAAATGGGCCAAATTAAACCCGCAAGGTAAGCATTAATGTAAATACATTATGCTGAAATCGAATAAATATCTATTACCCACCTACTTGTGTAATACATCACATTGATAAATCTCTTTGTATCTAAGTGAAGTTGATTGTGCATATTTTAAAATTGTGCATTTCTAGGCTTTATGATTGAATGGATTTGCTTAATTGAAATCAATGGCACTTATGATCTATATGGATTTGTTTGGTTTTGACAAATGATCACTGAGACCAAAGTTTCCTTTCTGATTTTCTATTTTTAACACCAGAGAAGTATCAAGAATTCACGTTCATTTTTAATTGTTCAATTATGTCTCAGTAAATGTGAGCAAAATCTGTTTGATTCCCCCAGTTCATCTCATTTAATCATAAATACTTTTTGAAAATAAAATTGACTATGAAATGTTGAAGAAAGTAAACAATGAACATTACCAATACTTTAAAGATGAAAGTGTGGCCGATATTCAATTTATTAAAGCCGAATTTCGTTCGCATCTACACTTTCTCAAAACTTAAACAAATTCGAACAAGGTGAAATAATGAAATTATTAATGGAGGGCATATTTTAACCTTTAACTCTGAAATTGTCTACATCTATCTTAAAACATCAAGGTGTTTTAGAACTGACATTCACTATTGCGTCATATACCTCCACGCATATTATGCTAATGGGCATGTAATGCATTTCCAAATTATTCGTTTAGTAGAATATTCTCTTTAAATGCGCTGAATAAAGGCATTTTGTACTTTATCTATTTCCAAAATATCATGTTAAATTGCTAAATGCAAATATTATTATCATTTCAAATGGCAGGCGTTTTGAATAGTTTTCATTAGCCATTTAGCTGACTTCGGGATTCGCAGAGAGAGGAACAACAAAGTGAGAAAAAATCGCGAGAGGGGGAACAGAAGAAAGGTTCACAGATGTAGAAGAGACAGACAGACACAAAGGTAGAGAAAGGGTGAGACGAGTGCTGTGGAAGTTGTGGAATATGACATACAGTGGAGTGATGGTAATTTGAAGTTAGAAGTCAACTGCCAGTTAATAGACTTTTTTTGCCGCATGAGTATACGTTGCCCAGGGTGCACCTCGTGGAGGTAAATCTATCGCACACCCCCTAAATGCAAATATAAATTTGATTCTTTCTCAGAGAGGTTTTTTACTGCATCTAACGTTATTTTAATTAATAAGTTCGCACATATTCATTTTGATTAGAAGGCTTTTCCGAACGTGCAAAAGCAACAATTTTTCTCGGGCTACCCTCTCATTATGGAGGTTCATTTGATGAAAAAAATAGCAGCTAGGGTAGACACATAATATTTTAATATCAAATTTAAATACAAAACGGGAACTTAGTATAAAGGCTTGCATATAAAATATGCTATATTCGTTGTCTTTATTTGGCCAGTTGTAACTTAGGTACTAAAAGAAATAGTTGAATTTTTTTGCACCGTATATTCATTTCAGTTAAAGCGCGCTCAACGGTTTGCTGTTATAAACAAAAGTGTTTAACTACACTGATTATGTTTTCATTGATTTTTGCACTTATTGCTTTCGATTTCACTCACTTTCTGTCTTCTCAGAGTGTATTTTAAGAAATTCGATCATGAAAAAGAAAGCTAACTACTATTTAGTGATAGGCGAATTTTCAAATAGACTCCATTTTCTTCAAATTTATGCGCAGCTGTATATAATGTGCACATTTCATGCAGTACAAATCTATGAAATTTTGATGGAACATCATGTTAAACTTTCCAAATTTGGAATTCCTCCATGCAAACAGCTAGGCAGCAAGATACATTATTTGGTGTCATAAATGCAGTGTTAGAATTATAAATATTCAGAGGAAATAGATTAATTTTTAAATTTTTTAACTATTTTTTACCAAGTAAATCAAGTTCGGAATATAGAAGCATACCTTAAGCTCAGCAGAAGCCAGACTCCGTCTCAAAAGGCAACCAATAGAGATCAATAATCGATGAAATTTGAGAGTTCTACTCAACCAAATCAAAAGTAGTCGATCTTAATCTGCAACAAATGATGCATTTTATTTACCACTGCAATGTTTTGTGCACCAAAAAATTCCAATAATAATAATATTGGGAGATTGCTAAACCAATTTAAAGGTAATAGCGCTCTCTTTGATTTAACTAGGCTGGCGTGACAGCTATGGGAGGAGGGAAGGTCTTACGTAGTAAGCATGCAAGCAACGCCATAAAGGCTGTACTGCCCTTGCAGTTAAATTTAATTTCCAAATACACAGCTTAATACGCTGTGTAGCGACGACGCAATAACATACTTCCCGCAATATTGCTCCCCATTTTCGTACGTTGTGAATCTAAATTTAGCAAGTTGCGTTTCAATCACTGCTGCTGTTGCTACCGCTAACATTAGCTTACAAATTGAGGTTTCCGTGGTTAGTAATTTTAATTATTCACAAGGATATCCACATCCATATAAGGTATGAAATTAGTTGTTGTAATCATATTTTAACATTGTGCAGATCTGTTGATGTAGCTCGGGTCAATATTAGTACGACATTATATTTCCGGATATGTAAATCACAACCTTGAGGGAATTGGAGGGAAAACACTGAAGTGTGAGGGTGTCGTTCACGCCGTCAGAATCACTATTCATGGATCAACGCGAACTATCAATTTCCGGTTTTTTAAGGCTGTGCCTGACTATCCAAGTGTCTTTTTCAACTTTCAAATTAAATTCAACCGGAGTCGCTTCGATGGTTTGATTGAAGAGATAATAACTTTTGCTCTTCTAAGCTGAAGTATGAAAAAATAAAAATCCTCAAGTTAACTGGCCAAATCGCCACCCCTTTGTCCATATTCATCTTCACCGATATTTGCTATTTTTAAAGATAAATGAAATACAAATTTTGTCTTTAATGTATACAAATTTCAGCTTCTGATACATACAATTTTCTGCAGAGTGAATTGGGAATAAGAAAATAAAGGTAAGTTCGAAATAAAACAGCCTTAATTTGTCCAGGAAAATTATAAAAAATATCACCTTAAATCAGGGTTAGGCACGTAGGATGCAATGCTAACTTAAATTGAATTGTCTAGAATAGTTAGAAGTGAATTTATGAAATTTTATTAGGCAAAACAGTAATCACCTTTGTTTGAAACTAATACTGTTATTCACCTCGCGATTAATCAATAAAAAGACAAAAATTTAGATGAGCTATGTAATTACTTTTAAATGGCTTATTTGAAGTTATGTAATTGTAAAACGTAGTTTTATTTTCCATTCCTCGGAATGTCTATAAATTATGATGATGATGGCAATGTACATATTTTAATGGAAAATCAGACGGTGTAGAAGATCCAGCAAGTTTGCAAAATTCCATTTCTTATCGTTATTAATAAAAATAAAATAAATTTGTGAAACTGTCTGGTTCTTAAATTATGACAGAAATGACATTTTCCCAGCGCTTTAAGATTAAATTCTTGTAAGTTTAGCTGGCTAGCACAGAACACATTTTTGATCTGCCTACTTAATTGAATGGTGCCTTTAATAATAATGATTCTTGGTTGAAATTTGCAAGGCCATCAAATATGCTAAGAGATGGCAAAAAATAATATTTTCTCTAAGTCCTTCGAAATTAAATATTATGGGAATAAGTCGATGCTTAATTCAGATATGCAAACTTTGAATAATGTATGAACTTACAATCCGAATTCTGTTGGAAAGAATTCAAATTTGAATGTAAATGCTATTTTTTTAAAAAAATATTACAAACGAATAGTAAAATTTATTTGATTTAGCATCAAAAACGAAATGAATAATGTATCAGTATGGTTAAGCGAATACAAAACGTGACAATAAAAATTAAATGAATGGAGAATTAATGTAATTTTTTTCCAAGCACATGCCTTTTCATAGCCTAATATGGAAATTTCTTGTACCCTGCCTTCTTCTTTAGTTGAAGGAAACAAAAAAGACAAGAGCTTGTAAGGCGTGCTTATGTGAATTTTGTCCATCACATTCACACGGTAGTGTTTCCGCGCGCACAATCAGATGTGCTGCGATAAATAAGTCAATATAGCAATGGGCATTAACTATAGTTCACTGTAATAAAAACGTGACGTCATTTCGTCAGAAACCACGAGGCGGTTGTGGCAGACAACGAAGGAGGAACGTTGATTTGCCGACTTTGACAAGCTTTTTTTACAGAAACGCGGGTCTGGACCTTAGTAATTCCATCTTCTATGCCAAAGTAACTTTCCATTGAGTTTCTCAGAAGGAAGTTCGGAGATGACTCTGAGCAACGTGGAGAAGAGTGGTAAAGAGGGAAGTGGATAGAGGCAATCTATATTTAGACGTCCCGTGGTGTTTCCTGCAAACTCAGTTTAGGATTGAGTAAGGAGAAAGGGTGAAGTAGAGTGGGGGTGTGGGGGGGGATGGGGAGGGG